TGGAACCACCAAGTGTCATTTTCCCCACCGGTAATTTGGATGAGGTAAGATCTTTTTGAGAGCAGTTATGAGGAGTTTGTGTGCAGCTGTGCATTCTATAGGTCCCAGTGGTGAATTCCTGTTGTCTTGGAGAGGGCAGCCTAAAATCCAGATTTAATGCAACTAATACCTCCTTCAGGAAGAAAGGGGCACAAGAGAAAGAAGGAGCAAGCCCTACATTTGGTGTGCCTTCTTCAGCCTGTGACAGGTAAGCATGCCTAGAAAGAATAGGAGCTAGTTCTAACCTTTGCTCACCTTACTGAGCGTTTCCTTCTATTGCTTAATAAAACATCTTTGGATCAGACCAGTTCCTGGTATCATTCCTTTCCCTTGAAAGGAGGGAATATCTTCTGTTCCATTTGAGAGTAACACACTAACCACAGTGAAGTAAGACAGCCCTTTGAAGAACAATCTAGCAAAAGAAGTGAAGTTGAAAATGCTGATGCCCTAAAACCAACAGTTCCTCTCTTGATAATTCTCCAGAGCAAATGGCTCCTTTACACTTCATCACAAAAATAGAAAGTCATTATATTTGTAGGGTACTCAGAGTTCCCTGCTTCCAGCAGAAGGCAACTGGCTGGAATCTCTCCAGATGCCTTTGGTGGTCCCCACTGGACCATCCTGAGTGCTGAGGAGATAATATCTTAGCACATCTGTAACCCATTTGAACTCCACTAAAAGCCAGAAAAACTCTTAGATGTGTACATCAGGAGACATTTGCAAGAATTTGTAGAGGTACTGTTTATAGAGTAAAAAAGAATTTGGAATATAACCTAAATATCCATCAACAGGGAATGGACAAAGTCAATATATTCCTTCAGTGGAAAGAAATGAACTAGGACTAATGTATCAATATGGATGACTCTCAAATACTATTGCTCAAAATAGCAAGCTGCAAAAGTATACATGTGCTATACCTAATACCGTTTATATAAACAAGCAAAACAAAGCCACTTACTGCTTAGGGATACCTATATTGCTAAAATAGAAGGAAGTGGGCCCTCCCTGGTGGCGCAGCAGGCTAAAGCACAGCACTGAGAAGCTAAAGCCACTTCTGCATGAGTTTGATCCCCACCTGGGAGGCGACCCACATGGAGCGGCAGACCTCTCCTGACCCACCTGCTGCTCCCCTCAGTAGTGTACTTCGTCAATCTGTCTGTTCTGCTCCCCACTCTGTCTCTGGTGAATCCTCTCACTGCTCCTGCATCTTGTGTCTGTACCCCAGTTTTGTATGCATAAAAAAATAATTCAAAAAAAAAATAGAAGGAAGAAGTGATAACCATCAAGTTCTGGAAGGCAGTTGCCTGACAGGGCTAAGAGACTGTGGAGAACACAAGGAGGATATGTTGATATTACCAGTATTTTATTAAGTTGCATGGCAGATACATGAATACAGGTTGATTATAGGTTATCTTTTGTTGTACTTTAAATATCCTATAAGATGTTTTAAGAATGAAAACTGGAAAAGAGTAGTTCAAGGTGTGGCTGGAGAGCTAGGTAGTGGTGGGTTCTTCTAGGCCATCTGAAGAGGATCCATTGAGACTTTTAAACATGGGAATGAGCCTGCCATGTAGGGCTTGGATTTGTGGAGTGTGGGAGTGGAGCAGGGAGAGTTAAGAGAAACTTGCTTCAGGTCAGGGGATGGAGCCCTCTGTTTCTTGAAACATGCTTCTCTGTTTGCATGGTGTTCTTCCTTGCTCTGTTCCCACTCTATGCTCATCTCTAATCCCTCTTCCTTCTCTAGTCCCTTAAATGGTACTGTGTCCCAGAGTGTTTTTATTTGGGGTGTGTGTGTGTGATGGGTATAGTGTACTTTATCGATGGCAAGGTAGGGCCCTTCGCTCTCTCCAAGTACTCAGGAATGGCACTGTGGCAGATCAGGAGAGTCTCAGTGTGTTGGATGAGTGGAGTGGAGGCAGGACTCCCCAGCAGCTGAGGTCCCAGGGAGCTCTTACACCTTTGAGGTCATGTGGACTGTGGGGTCCACCACCCTGTTGCTCTAAGTGACATTCATTGTTATACCAGGAAATGACTCAACAAAGCATGACACCAGCTTTGTCATCGAAGGTGGAGGAAAAGAGGATAATTCAGGAGATACCTGGTCCTCAGTGTAATCCAGGATGCCTTTGAAGGAGCCCTCTGATGCACTTTCTGGATGTCATCGTATTTGGCAGCTTTCTCTGGGTGGCAGGTCAGATCCACCATCTTCAACACATTGAGGGCAGGGCCCTAGAAAGCGTGCCAGTGAGCATCCTGTTCAGCTCAGGGATGACTTGCCCACAGCCTTGGCAATGCAAACAGAGGCAGAGATAATACTCCGCACAGCCCCTTGACCATCAAGGCACAGCTCCTCAGAGGGGCCGTCTACAGTCTTCTGGGAGGTGGTGATGGCACAGTGGTCACGGGACCCTCCATGATTTCAGAGTTGTCACAGATGACCTTGGCCAGGTGAGCCAAGTAGTTGGTGAGGCAGGTGGTATTGCTGACAACCTTGAGAGAGTTTTATACTTTTCATGGTTTACCCTAATTATAAATGTGGGGGCATCAGCAGAAGAGGCAGAGATGATGGCCTTCTTGGCCACAGCCTTCAAGGTAGTGAAGACACCAGTGGACTCCACAACATATTCAGCACCAGCACCAGCCCATGTTGCTGGGGTCTTGATGCTGGAAGATGAAGAAGGATTTCCCATTGATGACAAGCTTTCCCTTTCTCAGATATGACTGAAATTACTCTGGGCAGAATCATACATGTAAGACATGTAATTGATATATGAAAGGGTCATTGATGGCAACAATATCTATTTTGCCAGTGGTGACTAGATACCTAGTCTGGGCAAATCAGTTCACTCTGACCTTTACCTTCACTGTGGTACTTGAGGAATGTGTTGGCGCTGGCAAGAGGCAGGGGCTGTCTATCAATTATAGGCACAAAGAGCACAAAGTGGATTTTGTGAACTTTTTTTTTTCAGTTTTGAGGTATCTGTTAGTGGCCTTATTTATGTCCCAACTTCACTTTCCACCCATATGTTCATGATTCTCAAAATTTATTCCTCCAATCCAATGCTTTTTTCAAGCTCCAGACTGCCTAGTGGACATTTCTTTTCAATAGTTTCATAACCCAACAAAATCCAGCATGTCCAAAATGGAGATATTAACTTTCCAAATGTGCCCTTTTCTCTTGCCTTCACAATCTTGATGAACTATATTGCTGTCCATCCAGGTGTCTGATTCAGAAGCCGAGTATTATTTTAGACTAGATTCTTGTCTACTTTCCTCCTTAGGAGTTAGGTTTCCATGTTAGGAATTCGTTAGGATTTTGGAGTTCTGGGCTGCGATATATCTAGGGGCCTCGAAAGGCTCCTCAAGTCACTTAACTCCCTATGTAGAAGATTTCAATCTCACCATCAGCTAGAGAGAATACCACCTGCAGAACATTAGATGTAAGGCCTCTGGCTTCTGTTCCCTTTCCATTCTCATCTTCTCTGATTTTCCTTCTACTATTTGAGTACAGTTACACCAAGCTGCTTAAAAATCCCTAGATGTGCCATCTTGTTTTTAGGACTCAATGTGCCTTGGTATATACTATTCCTTCTGTTTGGAACATCTTTCCTTACTAGACCTATTGCAAAAAAAGTTTTCACACTGCTATGCCTTAATTAGTTCATGTGCCTTCTCCTCAGAGAATGCTTATCTCTGAAGCACAGAAAGAGACATTTCAGTTTTAAATCTTTATGTTCTGGCACATTGTAATGCTCTAAAAGTGAATTTAGTGTTGTCTCATTCATCAAAATTTCCTTTTTCTGATCTTGGGTTAGGATTATCTGAGGTTAGTTGCAAATTACTGAAATAAATATTCTGGATGAAAAAATACACAGTAAACGTTTATATACTATATGTTTTTTGCTGTGTGGGTATCTTCTACTTTGCCTAGAAAAACTCCAGAAGGCAGCTGTTTACATAGGGAACATAAATGTATGACAGCTGTAAATGTTCTTAGTCTTGGTCCTTGAACCTCCCAAGAATTGTCCATCTTTATACAAATCTTATTTGGGGGGGGGGCCTCCCTGCTGGACTAGGGGTTAAGTCTTAATTCTGTCACCATAATACCCTAGTTGAAGTCCCAGCCAGAGAGGAGACCCACATGGCACAGCAGACCTCTCGTGACCCGCCCGCTGCTCTGCTCAGCAGAGTATTTCAGTCAGTCTGCCTGTTCTGCTCCCCACTCTGTCTCTGGTGAATCTTTTCACTCCCTGAATCTCTGACTTACACTCCAATTCTTCTATGCAAAAATAAATAAAATCTTAAAAAAAAAATCTTTTTTTGGTCAAACTTCAAGTTTCACTCTCATTACCTTCTGCTCATTCCCCAAACATGTTTAACCTCCCTTGATCCTATAACAAGATAATAAAAGCCTGTCCTCAGCACGGCTATTCATTCTTCAAACTCTTTTCCTGTCCCTTTTCTCCTTTTTATCCTTTTATAAAAGAGCTGTTTATGTTTGGTCCTTTCACTTGTCTGTCTACCCATTTAGTCCCCAGAAATCTGACTGAGATCATTATCACCATCAAGAAGTTTTTCTTCAAAGATCTCTCGTAACTTTCAGGTCCACTGTGTTTGAGTTTTAAAAAAAATCACATGTATGTACACTTCAAATATATGACTATGCTAATTAAAATGATCTCTAAATGAACAGTCAATGAAATGGAGGAATGGGTATTTCTGTGGGGGTAAGGGGGAAATAAAAACAAGAACAAAAATGTAGTCTTTCAAAATTCAACACTTTAATTTTTTTGTGTGTGAAGTAAACAATTAGATGAGGTAAAGAGCTATCTAGAACAACTAGTACTCCCTTTTGTGTGTAACACAAAATTCAAAATGTGTGTGTGTATCTAAGTGTATGCAAGCATGCATTTGTGGTGTTACTTACTTGGAAGTTACTCTGATTTCCTCTTATTTTCCAGGAATATTTTGAAAACAATTGCCCTGGGTCAGATGCTGTCCTTGTGTATATGTGGGACAGCCATCACCAGCCAGTATTTGGCAGAAAGATACAAAGTGAACACACCCATGCTTCAGAGTTTTATCAACTATTGTTTGCTGTTTCTAGTTTATACAATGATGCTGGCATTTCAATCAGGTATGTTTAATGTAGGAATTCCCTTTACAGAAAATTCAGAAAAATGTTTGGCTTCTAGTTATTAAAAAATATATTGGAGGCAAAACCCAGAGCAAGAAACTATTGCTGATTTTTATAAAAGCTATTAGAAATGTCTGCTATCTTTGAGTTCTATTAGTGGAGTGACTTATGCCCAACTCTCTGAGATTCTTGATTAAATTAAGCAGTGCCAAATTGTAGTGGTAGAACTTATCTAAGAAAGTGTAAATGCCTTTACAAATTAGGTTTTAGTCTTTTTCTCAATGGTTAATAAAGTTAAGAGATAATATTAAAAATAAGGAGCTTCATTCCTCAAGATGTATCTTTTCAGCTAAGTGGAGGATGCTAACTGGAGCATCGATTATGTGTAGGTAAAGCCAATGTTGCGAGAGAGACAAAGACAAGGAATTGGCCAGAAATTCACATCTTTATCACTGCCTGGTTAAGTTGCTTAAGAATTATGGCTTTTCCTTAGCTACACAAAATTGTGAAAAACTAGATCCTGACAAACATTTCTGGTCAGGCATTATTTTAATGTCCTAACTCATGAAGTTATATATTAACTCACTGAAGCCTTCCAAAAGCTCAAGCTGCCTGCTTTACAGATGAGGCATACAGCACTTAGCCAACTTGCTCTAGGTCATAGAGGTAGTAACTGGGGGAGTGGGATTCAGGCCAGATGGCAGCTGCAGAGCTGAGCTCGTGCTCTCATAAGGGGCAATCCAAGCTGATGAGAAGGGTCCAGTTCTTTCATTTCATTATATTTTAGCTATATAATAATGTCACTAGTGTGGTCTTTGTGCATCCTCTTAATGGAAACTTAGTGAGTCAGTGGTATGCCTATGTGTGGGGTAGAAATGTTACATGGATAATACACCTGGACTTGGCTCTTTGTAAACACTGGCCTTTCAGAAGCCAAATATGGCACATAAATACATCAGTGGGGCCCCCTATGGGCTGAATGCTAGGAGACTTCTTATGCCATCTCATGTTAAGGAAGACTAATTTTATTTTTCCAGGATGTTCCCACTAATTGGGTTTTAATGATACTTATTTGGTTAGGATTCTCACTACCTTTATTTCCTTTTAGGTTCTCTGACATACAGCATTCTTATGTATATATCAACTCTGTATTGCCTGTGGTGCTAGGCTCTCTAAAGAACTGAATTGCAGTTATCTTAAATAAATAGAATTTGGGGGATAAAAGTGTTTCTTTAGTGATATCAAAAGTCTTTCCCCCAAACTTATCACTGACTTAAATTTCACTTGAAAACACAACTTTTGCAAAAGAATACCAACTTGAAGAATTTCCTTTAAAGAAGCCCACAAATATATCATGAAGAATCAACCACCTTGAATGAAAAATTAAAACAGAAGGACATAGTAGACATTTATGGAGCACCACATCTCAAAATGGCTGAGTTCATATCTGTCGCAACATTATGGAATGTTCCATATGAATATAGATTACATGTTAGGTCAGAAAACAAGTGTCAGTAAGTCATGATGATCTTCTCTAATCACAATGCATCAAACTAAAAATCAACCACAAAAAGAAAGCTGGAAAAATCTAATATGTGGAGACTAAATAACGTCACTGAATGACAGGCCGATGGAATAAAATTAAAGAGTCCCAAAATAAATCACACTTAAATGGGCAGTTAATTAATGAGAAAGGGGTCAAGAGTATACAATGGAGGAAGTAAAGTCTCTTAAACAGATGGTGTTGGGAAAACTGGACAGCCACATGCAAAAAGAATGAAGCTAGACCACTATCTTATACCATACCAAAAAAAAAAAATTCAAAATGGATTGAAAAATAGGATGCAAGACCTAAAACCAGAAAAATGTATATCTGAAAATATAGGCAAAAATTCTGTGACAGGCTTCAGTGATGTCTTTAGGGATTTGATTACAATAAAAAGGGCAATGAGAACAAAAACAAATAGGATTACATCAAACTGATAAGCTTCTGCACAGTGAAAGAAACTATCAGGAAAACAAGAAGACATCCTACTAAATGGGAGAAAATATTAGTACATCATATATTTGATAAGGGACTAACATACAAGAGCTACAAAGAACTCATACAACTCAACAAGAAGAAAACAATCCAAAAAAAAAATGGGCAGAAAGTTTAAATAGATACTTTTCCATAGAAGACATACAGGCCAACAGGCACATGAAAAAAATACTCATCACTTATTATTAGGGAAATGCAAATCAAAACCACAATGAGGTACCACCTCACACCTGTGAGGATGATCTATATCAAAAAGATAAGAAATAGCAGGTGAGGCAGTGGAAAAATGAGCCCTGTACACTGTTGGTGGGAATGTGCACTGGTCCAGCCCCTGTGGAAAACAGTATGGAGATTACTCAAAATATTAAAAACAGATGGGTCATGTGATCCAGCAATTCTACTTGTAGGTATCTATCCAAAGAACACAAAAACACTTAATTCAAGGGGATCTATGTAATCCTGTGTTCACTGAAGCATTATCCACAATAGCCAAGCTGTGGAAACTACCAAATGCCTGACATTTAGTAGAGAGAAAAGATGCAATGTAGATACACAATGAAAAGTTATACAAAAAGATGAATTCTTGCCCTTTGTGACTTCATGGATGGAACTAGAGGGAATCAGTTAGATTAAGTTAGAGAAAGACAAATACCAGATGATTTCACTCATATGTGTAATATAAAGAAACAAAACAAAGGAACAAACACAACTACTCTAGAATGTGACTGCAGAGTTGAGGCTACAGGGGGAGGGTGGGAGGTGAAGAACAGAGCAGAGAGGGGCCCCACTGGACTGTGGTAGAGGATTGTGGTTGCCTGGTGGTGGGCGTGGTATGTAGTATACATTTGTGGATGCCAACATATGCAGTAATGTCAATGTTACCTCAATTTAAAAAAGTGCAATGTTTAAAAAAATGAAGATGTCCATCAACAGGTTAAATTGCTAGTGAATTCACAAGAAAATTTCCATTTCCTAGGATAATCTAGCTTTTCAGATTTCCTAACATCTGGATATTATAGTTCTGATGCAATGGGAAAGAGAATTGAACTGCTTTTTCACCCACTTTCTCTCTGATGCTTTCAGTAAGTTCTTGGTCTATGATGACATCTTAGCTTGGGCTCATATTAGGAAAAAATGCTGAGCTGTTGAAGTAATTTGGGCTTTAAGATACAGAAAGCAGGAGAGGTCATATCTAAAATACATGGAAAACCCGTAGTTGGTTAATTTCTCAACTAACACGCCTGGTATCATCAAGTAACTTGTACTAACCCAGATTTCTTCCAACCAGGTAGTGATAACCTCTTATACATCTTGAAAAGAAAATGGTGGAAGTACATCCTGCTGGGAATAGCAGACGTGGAAGCTAATTACCTCATAGTCAGAGCATACCAGTACACAACTCTAACCAGTGTCCAGGTATGAGGAGTCCTTTTACCACTTTGGAGCTTATAGCTTCAAGAGCAGAATCTGAACTCCTTTGGGGCTAACCTTATTTTATTGAAAACCTGTTCACTTGAAAACCTAAACACAGGTGGATGCTCTTTTCCAGTGGAGCATATGTGCTAATGAGTAAGGTTTCCTGCAATTAGTGAAAATATATACAAGTTAATCAGTTCCCGAACTGCTATATGTTATAGCAGATTAGAGTAATTTCTACCAAAATAAGCATAAATATTTAGTTGGCAATTGATGTAGTGTGTTGGCAAGAGTTCTATTTTATGTGTTGCTCAAAGCATGGTATAGATAGAATGGAGGTACCTTTGTGCTACAGAAAAGTTGGAGGTTTTACACATAGACTATGAAGATAAAGGGACAGATGGAAGGAACCTATTACAAATCTTGGGTAGAGATGGTAGCTAAAGGTAAAACTTACATCCCTATTTCTTTCATGAGGCTTATACTTGCAGGGCTGAGAGAAAAATGTCCCTAAGTAGCTGTAATTTTCAACTTGGTAGAGTGGAGGAAGACTGAATTAGTTGATTTAATGTTAGCAAGCTGTGGGCTGCATTTTAACACTGATGAGTCATCCCTCACAGCAAAATAAAGGTGAAAGTGAGATAGATACCAGGGCCAGGTTTAGACTTCACAGTGTAATGAATTTATAACTTTTGATGCATCACTTTTCTCACTATATAAACCAGTGATGTTCTTATTTGATCTCTAGATTATGGGAACGTGAAAAAATTATAACGACTTATTTCACATGGTAAACCTAAAGGCTGATGAAAACTTAACATTTTTTTTTCAGTATGAGTATATATTATTATAAGCAAAATAAATTTTAATACATTCTTCCCTTTCTGTAACATTGTGGTAAGCATTGTTCTCAGCAAACCTCTTGGTTTTTGATTGGGATGGAAATATTTGTTAAGACGGACATAGGAGGTGCAAAAAATCCCGAGAATTTCATAAACATTAATGCCAGTGGAACTAACTAGAGGATGAAGTTCATCACAAATAGGAAGGAGTGGACTTTTGGCAATGGGTAGTGAGGGTATAAGAATGTAGAAAATCCCATTTTTGTAATCACATAAACACAACCTCACACATATTTTAACTAGGTTATAATTTCCAGAAACTTTGATCTCTAATGATCATTAGCAGTTCTGAATTGGTGCAAGGACTATAACAGACTTACAGTTGAGTTTTGGTGACTGAAGTTCATGTCTTATACAACTGAAAGTAACTTTTTTTTTTTTTATCCTGGCCTGTTAGAAAAGCTGAAGCTTTAATTTGTCAATGTTAAGGTAGTTAAGGTCCCAATGTGGAATATGCAGACAGTTCCTGACTTACAATGTTTCAACTTAATCTCTCAATTAACATGAGGTTTTTCTACCTCATGATATTGTGAAAGAAATATGAAACAGAAATAGCACTTTGAAGTTTGAATTAGGGCATTCCTGTTTTTCACTTTCAGTACATAGTCAATAAATAACATGAGCTGTCCTTCACTTCACTAGAAAATAGGCTTGATAGATAGCTGCACCCAACTGTAGGCTGATGGATGTTTTCTGAGCACGTTTAAGCTAGGCTGGGCTCAGCTATGTTGTCCAGTAGTTTAGGTGAATTAAATTAATTTCTGATTCAGGATGTTTTCAATTAACAATGAGTTTACAGGGATGTATGTCAAGGAAGGGCATCCAACAATGAATGCTCTCTCATGCAGTGGAAGCTGCCTGTCACTGAAGTCCTCAAACTGATCCTCTACTTAAGCAAATTTCTGTCTTGGGTAATCTGAAAAGGTAGATGTTTGTATCAGATGGTCTTTGAAGCTTCTTCAAGATTCCTTCAATGATTTTGTAATTGCAAATTATAGTGTAGTAGTTTACAGGAAGTACATGATGGGACCATTAACACCCCAAGGCCTAATATCTGCTTGTCTTCTCACTTTAGTGCCACCTGTTCCCTGCCTCAGTGACTTCTTATAATTGCCCCCATTCTTTCCAGAATCCAATTCTTTTTGAAGCCTTGTTTTCTTTCACTAAGACCTCATCAGTTTTACTTTCTCCTTTGCATTCCTTTGTATCTCCTTACAGTTATTTTATAGACACATCTCCCCTGCCCCGACCCCTTAGCCCAGGGTCTTCCTTTGTACCTGGGCTTACAGTGACTGTACAATAATTTGAAAAGACTAAATAGGAAGACTCTTGGAACTGAAAGCATCAAACAGAAGACATCACCGAGGATACATTTTAAAGGGAAGATTTGATGTAGATAAGTGATTGAATGTAATGGCTATGAGCTGAGAAGTTGTGGAATATTAAAGTAGGAAGGGACCCCTGAGATCATTTAGTCTGATTGTTTCATTTCATATTTTGACCCAGAGGGTGCCTGGCTGGAAATAACACACCAAACAAGTGGCAAGGCTGGGCTGAAGTCCCAGGAGTTCTTTCCCGATGGAGACATCCCTCCTTAAAGAGTCACTCATTGCCAACAAAAATGTTAAAACTAGGACAAATTTACATTTGATTTTAAGGCACAATTTGAGGAAGTAGGGATTCATCTGTGATAACTTTAAAATTTTAACTTTTTTTCTAATCAAGGTAACATTCGTTTACAATATTGTGTATAATTTAGAGGTATGGGATCACCCCCTTCAGGTGTTATTCCATGATAAATTTTAGAGTATCCCCCCCTCTTTTGGCCACTTTTGTAATTAAAGAATGTAGTTTAGACTTTGTTAAGTCATGATGGTTGGATTCTGCTGGTGTCTTCCGGGACAGGCTATTATCATTTGAATCGTTTTATGTTGTTTAGGCAGGCTCGATAAAGCACTTAGGAGATTATAGAGTTCTGTTGCTGGAATAAATATCAAGGCAAGGTGCCCATCCTACACATGGCCCAGGCCAGACCCAAATGATGCCAATGTAGAGAAAGGGAGTCAGTAAACAAGTGTGCACAGGATGAAGCAGGCTGCTGGTGATTTAGGGGCCTCATTCAAGACTAAACAGGGATGGAGGGCATCAGAGACAAACTTGAAAAGCAAGGCAAACAATAAACAGTGGTTTTAGGGACCTTACTCACATAAGGAATATATTTTATCCTTAGATGCACTTTACAAATTTTGCGAGTTTATGAATTAAATATGTAAAATCTTTACTCTTCCCATATCTTTCAAATTATTTTGCTATAATTTTGGCATTCTTAATTTCCTTACCTTTCATATTGACAAGATCAGGAATATATCAGGAATATAGTGTATTTTTTGGGCCCAACACGTAATGGTGTGAAGGAGCATATGATGATGACAAGAGTGTTTGCAATGGGCAAGTGTCACACTATAAAGTGGGGCTGGATGCTTCGTGAGGGAGGTGCTGTCTGTTTTCTCACTCATGTACCAAGTTTTCTAGATGTGTGATTATATGTTGTTTTTGTAGCTTTCTGTATGCTCCTGAGGGTCAGTTTGAATGTCTCATCCTCTATATTCCCAAGTCCAATTGGGTGCTTCCTATATATGAGATGCTTAATAAATATTTTAATAATATTTACTGAAAATGGATGCATGCAGGAAGGAAGGTTTGTACTGGACTGAAGGGTAAACACAGGTGGGAGTGTAGAGATAAACTGCACAGATTCTGGAGGTAGACTCCCTGGCTTCAGCAATTGTAGCTATGATTTTGGGCAACTCATTTCACATCTTGGTGCCGTTGTTTACCTTGTGTGTAAAGTGGGGTTGCAGTTCCAATCTCATGGAGTTGTTCAGGATTAAATGAGTTAATCCACACAAAATATGTAGTTGAGGGCAGGCCATAGTAAATGCTCAATAAATGCCAACATCCATTATTGCTCAGCTACCTCATCATTTTAGCCATGAGAAATGTGTTCAGTTGTTTATTTCTCCTTCCACACAGCTTCTGGACTGCTTTGGGATTCCTGTGCTGATGGCTCTCTCGTGGTTTATTCTTTATGCAAGATACAGAGTAATCCACTTCATCGCTGTAGCCGTCTGTTTGTTGGGTGTCGGGACAATGGTTGGTGCAGATATATTAGCAGGGAGGGAAGACAATTCAGGTAAGACTGTATTACTTGTTCCCGATTCGGTTAAAGAAAAAAGAAACCCTGGTTAATCATCTTTTACATTTTATTTCTAGATTTTCTTGCTTCTGATATATTGTAATCACTTTCCACAAAGCTGTCTTTATGATCCTATCTACCCATATAGTTTTTGTCTTTTTTGTGTGTGTGTGACACTGGTTTTATTTTGTTTCATGAGAAAGCTGTTTATATATTTGCATTAATTTTCTTTTGACCCATTTAGATTAGTTATTGAAAAAGCTACTGTAGATTCTTTTTTTGTTTGTTTGTTTTTATCAAAAAGAAGACTTTGTGTCTTTTGGATAACAGATGAAAACACTCTGATGTTCTCTAGGTCAAAGTTCAGACAATTGAGAGCACAAATCTAAAAAAGGTCATTGAATTCACCCAATCTACAAGTGAGTTCAAAGTCTCCTTAAGGAAAGAAATCACCTGTCTATGTAGTGTCCTTCTCTGTAGATACCCATTAAGTCCTTTCCATAAATTCCATTCACTTCTCATAGCATAGAGTTGTTTTTGTAGGCTTTGCATTATACGATATACAACCATCTTCTGCTGTTAGTCTTCTGAGGCCTCAAAATGTAAGGAATCACAGCCAGGAAGTGAGAGAAGAGGAGTCTGTAAACTTCTTGAAACCAGGACTTCTATTTCTATGAAATCTTATTTCAATGAACATGGGTCAGAAAAACTTCTGCGAGCAAGCTAGGGAAGCTCCCTATTGACGTGTTCAACTTCCCACCTGTCTTCCTGCAGGGAGTGATGTGCTGATTGGAGACGTCCTGGTCCTTCTCGGGGCTTCTCTCTATGCTGTTTCTAATGTCTGCGAAGAATATATTGTGAAGAAGCTGAGCAGACAAGAGTTTTTAGGAATGGTGGGCTTATTTGGAACAATTATCAGCGGCATACAATTGTAAGATTCTAAAATTTTCCTTAAAAGTCAAAGAAGCACTAGGTGACTACTTTCCAACTACTAATATTCATGACTTACTTGGCTTAAATTAATTTTTAAATCAGTGACCTTTCTAGAGACCTATTAGAGGACTGTTGTAACATCAAGAATGATGTCTTAGCACCTTACATGAGAATTCTTGCTTATGATTTGGTGGTATAGAGGCATAACTAATGAGAACTTTTTCAATTATTTTCAGAAAATATTAACTTCCAGATAAGAAGGAAAAAATAACATCATGCTTCTCTCCTATCATTGACTGCTATTGAATGGCACACCTCTAAGGGAATCAAACTTATGTTTATAGAATCCTTTGGTTTAATTCTTTATCATTTTAAATAAAGATAGATATTTTTATATTCTAAGAACATTTCAAAACTCAGCACAATTTTTCACCTTAGCTCAAGTACAGCAACTAAAATGCTTATAGTGAAAATTAGTCTGTGACTCTCTCTGTGACTTCTTATTTTAATCTTAGATTGATTGTGGAATATAAGGATATTGCCAGCATTCACTGGGACTGGAAAATTGGTAAGTATGTAAATGATAATTCTTTTCAGCCAATATCCTTTCCCCTGACAAACACATATATTTTAAAAAAATTTTCTTCTTTTCAGTAACATGTAGCATTTTTATAAAATTACAGGGTAATTCCACAGAGAGCTACAGTGGTTTTACAATGAGCTTTTTCTGAGAACTTATAAATGAATCTCCACAGAAGTTAATTCTTAATCTGTTCTTCAGAAGTAGCCTTTCTTTACTAGGAATTCTGAACAAGATCGACCTTTGGTTACAGTACCATACAATTAGTTCTCCATTCAAGTCCTTGAACTTCTTGTGAAGGTTGTCTACTTGATGAAATTTGTGAAGCATTAACCTGAACAAGCTGAGGGTGTATAATCATCCCCACCTTCCATTGCTATTCTTACTGACATTCCTAGGCACAAATAATCAACACAGTAGGAGAAAGTGGTGGGAAAGTTAGAAAAGATTTAAAGGCAATTAAGTAGTACATAAAATGTCATGAAGTTCTTCCACCATCCCTGGATGATTTAATCCAATAAAAAACTTAGATGGCCAGAGAGCACATGTGTGTGTTGGAGTATGGGGGTGAGACTGGAAAAGTGGGTACAAAGCAGAGATACTGCTAAAGAACTGGCACCCACCAGATGAGCTTTTTAACAAGAGAATGGTTATATCGTGCTATCGGGGGCATAGAAAGCACTGGAATGAATGATTTGAACAAAAGATAATGGACCTAACAGCTGCCTTGGTTGTCCTAAAAATAATTTGCTCTGAATTCAATTATACATACTTTGTCTACTCAACCAGATAAAACAAACAAAAGATAATCAGTGATTTTTTTTTTTTCTAATCAGTGATTTTTCTTAATGGTGATTTTGCTTTCATTGCCCTTTATCACAAGCATCACTCTGTCCTCAGCATTGGATAAGGACTGATAAGAGTTATTAACTCAGTCATACCAGAAGCAGTATTTTAGGCCTTGACCACCTAACACCGTGTTGGATTTCAGAAGTACTTCGTGTATCTCCTCTGCAGTGCTGACTGCTAACAAAGGGCTTTGCATTTAGCTATGTTAAAGGATCAAGTAATTTTGTGTGACAGTCAAACCTTAAGTACCTTTGTCTTCTAATTTTTTCCTATAATATTACATATTCCCTTTTTTTCCCCTTTCACAGCACTGCTGTTTGTGGCATTTGCCCTCTGTATGTTTTGCCTGTACACCTTCATGCCACTGGTAATTAAAGTCACTAGTGCCACTTCTGTTAACCTGGGCATCTTGACAGCTGACCTCTACAGCCTTTTTTTTGGACTCTTTCTGTTTGGCTATAAGGTAAGATCACGTTGCTATGGTCCAAAAGAAGTAACAAATATTTTCAAGATTTTGAATTAAAAAATAAAACCTCCCTATCCTGTTGGCAAAAATCTCATCAAATAGTCCTGACTTTTTTTTTTTAAGATTTGTTTATTTATGCATACAGAACTGGGGTGCAAGCCAGAGGTGCGGGGGTGGTGAAAGGATTCACCAGCGACAGAGCAGGGAGCAGAACAGGCAGATCAATGAAATACACTGCTGAGGGGAGCAGCGGGCAGGTCAGGAGAGGTCTGCTGCACCGTGTGGGTCACCTCCAGAGTTGGGGTTTGAACTTGCACTGAAGCAGCTGCGCTAGCTTGCAAGTGCTGTGTCCTAACCCACTGCGCTACCAGGGAGGGCCTGGATAGTCCTGACTTTTATTACTGCCTTCCAGTCAGAAAACTGGCCCAAGTAAGAATTGTTCTCAGGGTTCTCTAAAGGGTGAAGTGCAATGCATGTCTTCTTGGGTATGGTCCAGGACATCAGTGTATGGAAATTATGTATTTCAGCTGATGATCAAGGACTCCCTGAGCTATTTGAGAGAGCAGGCAACTCTTCCCATCACTTTTTGTCAAGGTACATAGACATGGTGCCAGATGGAAGGGAAAGTTATGGGTGTGTTATACCTGCTGTGACCGGAAAAGTTCCATCTCTGATGGCAGATTTATTTTGTCTCTGTATTGTCACAGCATTCATAAGCATAACCTGTTTCCATCAGTGGCAGCTCTTGTTACATGTAGGAATTCTCCAGGAGACAGGGAAAGCAAGAGAATGAATATGTAATTTGAAGAAATAGCATCTCCAGAGAATCTAATATACCTTCCCTTGAGAATTACTGATTGAACGATTACATTTGAGAGATGGGGAAATGAAATGGTTAGACTTAGTTAAGTGACTTTCCTTTAGCAGCTGGTCGGTGATAAAGTCAAGACTGATTCTTACTCATCAGCCTTGTAATTCAGTCTTCATTCCACTGCACCTGTTAGCCTATTTTCATTATTAATGTGACTATCTGAAGCTTAGGATAGTCTCCCCATGTATCAAAGAGAACCAAACAAATGGATTTCCTTTTTTTTACAGCTAATTTGAAACTTTTAGTAACAGTTCTCATACTTTGGGATATCAGGACCTTTTTAAATGCTTAAAATTGAGGATGCCAGTTATTTATTACTTATCATATTAGAAATTAAAGCAGAAATTTCAAAAATATCAACTCATTAAGAAAATATTTATGTTAACCGTACATGTTTTTGAAAACTGTGTTTACTGAAATAAAAGTTTAGTGAGAAGATAATGATTTACATCTTTAAAAATCTCTAATAAACAACTGAATGGAAAATAGTTGGATTCTCCTATTTGGTTCTTCATTCTGCTTTGTGATACCACAGTGTCACATAGCTCCGGGAATATTATATTTGTAAGATAGTGAAAATAGAAAAGGCAAACAGTGTAGCAGTAGTAGGACTACTGTAAGAAGTATGATAGTGTTGTTATTTTGGCCTGTAGATCCTTGCAAAGGGCTTTGGAAGCCCTCAGATGTCTGACCAATTTTCTTACTATACCTTCAGCAAATGCCTATTGACCTTTCTTCGTGGCCATCTGGACAAGTAGTTAGGTTGGTGATTTTAGTTTTAGTAGGAGCCACTAATTAAATATTTTTGTCCTTGTAAAATTGTGTGTCCAGGCAGGAATCATTGGTCCTGATTTACACTGTTCCCAGGAACTGGCCACTAACCCACAACACCTAGTTCAGTTCTCAGAAATTTCTGCTTAAGAAGCATCAACCTTTTTGCCTTGCAAGGTTATAAGCGTCAGGAACAAGCTGTTAGCTTTTCAGACTTGCTGGTTAGGTATTCCTGAACAAAATTGCAGGAGCATTTACAGCTTTTTTTGGTAGCATCATTAAAAAGTAACAGATATCAAAGCGAATCAGAGAGATGTTCCTGACAGGCCTGGTTAAAATTTTTTTCTTCGTTAAGAACCACTGCCAAGAACTACAGTGACCCTTGAAAGGTCAGTTCAGGGGGACTGTGGCTGCATTTCACACGGTCACCGGTGGGGACAATGGAGTTTTAGTATTAGCTCAACAACAGTTGGCAGCTATCCAGACGCAACGAAAGCCTGAGCACTCAGTGGTATAACATATGGTGCATTCACTATAATTTTAATCACAGTTATTGCTTTATCTTTACTAGTTTAAATTTTACTTTCCTCTCATAAGTAACCTAAAGCCCAAAGAGGAACCATGGTTAAATAAATAAACCTTTGAAGTGAAAGTACACTTGTCACTTCCTATTACAACTCCCTTAGTGCAAATATTTGCTCCTTAACTGCTCTTAATCTTAATATGAAAGAACTTCCATGTGCAAATTTATTTTTGCCACAAACTTTAAGCTATTGTTCTCAGAACTGGAGCATGTATACTATACACCCCTTCTCAGTTCTCTTGCTTCATATTTCTTTCTGTTCATGTCTAGAAGCTCAGTCTTAACTCACTGTTAGACTTCACTGTTGTTGGCTATAAACTATTTCAGACTTAAGTTGCAAAGACCAGATCCCCTGATCTTCTTGAGTACATTAGAGAGGTAGAAAACCTTCAGTGCATACAGAAGATCAGGGCATTTTAGAAATCGTTCTTAAAGGGCCCTTTCTGGTGGTGCAATGGGTTAGGATGCAGCACTGCAGCTAGCCACAGCTGCTTCAGTGCCAGTTTGATTCTCTCTCCAGAGGTGACCCAATGGCGTGGGAGACCTCTCCTCACCCGCCCACTGCTCCCTTCAGCAGTGCACTTCAGTTGATCTGCCTGTTGTGCTCCCCACTCTGCCTCTGGTGAATCCTCTCACCACCTGCACACCTCTGGCTTGCACCCAAGTTCTGTATGCATAAATAAACCTTTAAAAAAATAGTTTTTAAAGACAATCATAAACGCAGTATATTCATAGTTTTTTTTAAAACATATTTATTTATATGTGTTTATATATATATATATATATCAAATAGATGCTCCAAGAGGCAAAGAGATATGAGCTCCACATATGCAGGTCAGAGGTCAGTTGTAAACAATGGGCCAGTTATATGGCTAATCCTTAGTTTTAGGTAGACAGACACACCTAAAATCAAGGGTCATTCATGTTCCCTAAGGAGGTTGACATGCACACATGCCATCTTGAGGGAAGAATTAAGGAAGCATGTCTAATAAAGCTTCACAGTTTTTAATTGTAGTAACTAACTTATTTTTTGAAATAGTTAAAGAGGCTTAAAAATTCCTACACTCTGCCTCCTCTAGAATTGATCTTGAGTGAAAAGAGTGGCCACAAAAAATTCCCTATATAGATCCAGACACAACGGGGATTTTAAAAAATAAAAATTGTATCCTTTAACTTAGGGAAGTTACTTCACTTGCTCCTATTCTCTCCCTACTATAAAGGACTCTATATTTAATCATCTGCCTGCTTAAGAGGAACAAGATGGCTTTCTGTCTAAACATTTAAAACCACCAAGCCAAACAAGAAATGTTTGGGACAGCTTACAAAGGCTTTCCCACAGGTAGCCATGAACATTTTAGAGGGGCACTTGCTGACTTTCATAATGATGGATGTTGGAAAAGTCATGATGTCATTTTGCATAGAAAACAGAAAAAAGTCACAACTTTTCTGGCATCCCAGTACTAAGTTTAGGGCACTCTAAATAGCCTTAATTCCCCTGATGTCCTCTGAATCATTTTTTCCCCCTTCCAACACTGATCATATATGTCGGGTACCAAGTACTGACTCCAAGAATTAAAAACCAGTGTTAAGACACTTAGTTCTGCTGTTCCACTTTAACTTGTCACTGGCTCAGCATCATCACAGAGTCTAGAGAAGGCTTTCCTGGCTCGTGGAGAGTGGGAGCTGTTCCGTCTCTTTAGATATTCTGAAGGTTTAAGGTTAAGAAGGTTAAGAACTGAGTAACTGTAAAAACTTAACCTGTCAAAATCAATGGTGGCCCACAGATACCCACTGTTGGAGGTGACCATCTGGGAGTCAGTGTATCACCACCTTTTCTTCTCTCTGATCTTCCTCTCTACTTTTCTCTAACCCATTATGCTTTCTTGATGTTTTTATCTTTTATTCCCTTATTAGAACGCTTTATTGGATATATGATGTCTAAGCTACTTTAAACTAGTCTATTTTTTTTGTGGTTCCATACAAATTTTATTATATATATATGTGTGTGTGTGTATAAAGATTTATTTATTTATGCTTACAGAACTGGGGCATAGGCCAGAGGTGCAGGGGCAGAGAGAGGATTCACCTGAGACAGAGTGGGAGCAGAACAGGCAGATCAACGAAGTACACTGCTGAGGGGAGCAGCGGGTGGGTCAGGGGAGGTCTGCTGCACCATGTGGGTCACCTCCCTAGCCTGGGATTGAACTTGCCTAGAAGCAGCTGCTGCTAGCCTTGCAGTGCTGTGCTTTAACCTGTTAGCCACCAGGAAGGGCCCAATTTTTACATATTTTTTATATCAGTCTTCATTTTTATACAATGTGTGCTTTATCATCTTGGATGTAATCCCCATGAAATTCCCACAACCAGTTCACCTGTGCACCATCACCATAGTCTCTTGTATTCTTCCCACCCCTATTTTGATCCTTCTCCCCCTAACCTCCCCCCCCCCCATTGATTTTGGTTTTTACTTCATTATAATTACTCCTCCCTCACTCCCTCAACCCTTATTTGGATCCCTTACATTCCCCTACATTCCTTCTATAAGTGAAACTATCTGGTATTTTTCTTTTTCTTTCTGGCTTATTTCACTGTAAAGCTAGTCTATTGCTACGAATAAAAGAATATGTCCCATTCTTAATTTTAAAATCAGGTTAACAGGACCATTTATGAGTTCGTCTGCTTCAAGAAAAAAAAAGATCATGGGCATTTTATCACATATGAATTATGCCATATCATTTCCCTACTTTTTCACTATACTAACCTTGGTCAGTGTCTAGTTACTCTATTGCTAGTTTTTGCTTTTAAAAATGTGTTCTGTTAAAAACAAGTATTAATTTACCTGAACTTTTTTATGGCTCCTCCATTCAAATAAGAGTGAGCATGCAGACTGCTAAATGTTGTGATTTAAATTTTGGGGTACATGGAATATATTTTCAGTAAAATCACACAGTGAATTAGTGTCATGTCCTCCCTGCATTATGCCCTGTATGGCTGTTTTCAGTCTTCGAAAAGGGCAGACTGGGAAAGGTGACCAGGTACTCCATCCACCCATGAAGCATACTTGTCAGGAGAGGTTGTCTTCAGTTGGTGCTTCTGGGAGCAGAGGTTGCTCTGGGAAACTCCTTTCCCATGCTTGTCCAATGAATATTGAAACCAATGACTGCTTTGGGCTTCATAATCTTCTGAAAAATCTTGCTCTTTCCTGAATCTGAATCTTCTCAGTCTACCATAAATTTTGCCAAGTAACACTTGTCATCTATTAAATTTTAGCAAAGTGAATCTGTCTGCAATAGAAGGGCGTGAGGGCTTGGGGACATGTGTCTTTCCTTTCTTCGTAGGTCCCACTCACGTTCTTCTGCTTCACATCCATCCAGTGATTTGGGCTTGCCCAAGGGCACCTTGCTGATCTTTTGTCCTCTTCACTGAGTGGGATACTGGGTGTAAAGAGGGGTAGGCTGGATGATCACAGACAAAGGCAGTTTGCACTTCTTGAGGAGCCAGTGATCTAGTTGGTTGATGCACCAGAGTGTGTGTGTTTGCCAGTATATGGGAGGGTTTTGGGTGGAGGGTTTGGGCATTGGTATATCCCCTTGGGCAGTTTTCAAAAACAAGACTATGAGAAGGTAAGCAGTAGGTGAATGACCACAGGGCAGATGTGCATGCGAGGGATCATACTTCATAGCTGTTCTTCTTTCTCCCAGTTTTCAGGGCTCTATATCCTGTCCTTCACAGTCATCATGCTGGGGTTTATTCTGTACTGCTCCACCCCCACGCGCACGGCAGAACCGGCTGAGAGCGACGTGCCACCCATGACCAGCATTGGGATCGACAACCTGGGACTAAAGCTGGAGGAGAACCTCCAGGATCCCCACTCTGCTGTTATGTAGCGGGAGAGGAAGGTGCATGCGTGTGCGCTGAGGCCACCCAGGAACTGGGTGCCACCACCAGGATGAAGCAGAGCCTGCTGACTGCCAAGGGGGCTCTTGGAAATGATCAGACTTGGAGACAAGGGTCTATAGCTTTTGGATTGGACCCAGTGGTTCGATTTTACAAAGCAACACAAACTAATGTATCAAAGTAGAAATACCAAATGGAATAGAAGCTGACGCCAGGACTGTGTTTCTGTGTGTGAGGACTAATACCTGTCAGTGTTAGGAAGACCAGGTGTGGACCCAGTGAGAGCCCCAGGGATATGTGGGAAATCAAGACCTGTGACAGGCTGTCCAGGCTGGCAGGGTGGCTCTGAGGAGGGGCCGTCCTGGGTGGCTTGGGTTTCCTCAGTTGGAGGCTTCTGTTTTTGTCCTGCTGAGATAGTCATTGTCCTGATGGCTTTTGGGCTGCACTTGAGAAATCCTGAGCTGCCACAAAGATATGAAATTTGAGTGCAGTAAACAGAACCCTTTCCCAATCATTAAAGGAAGATACACTACTTTTTACCAAATATTTGCAATGTGCCATGAGATTTTTATGATACTTCTTTAGTGCATTGTGTTAATATGAAACATCATTATATCAATGACAAACATGCCACTCTGCAAAAACTCTGTATGCAAACTTTTTTTTTTTTTTCGGTAAAAAGAAACAGAGTGTTTGTATTAGTTAAAAAAAAAAAAGTTGATTTCATAGAAATACATTCACTGTGTTTTTTTTTTTGATTAACCAGTGTCCCTTATGGATTTTATATTGCCTTAATATATTCAAGATTTCTTCATATTCAACTTTTCAGGATTTGTGTCTTCTTTGAGATGGGCAAACCTATCTAAAGGGAGCTATGCTTGGGTAAAGGGGAATTCACATAGATCATTTGCAGGGTAAGCATGTTGAATTCTGAAACACAAGGTTTTTTTGTTTGCTTTTTTTTTTTTTTTTAAGATTTATTTATTTGTGCATACAGAACGGGGGTACAGGACAGAGGCTCAGGGACGGCGAGAGGCTTCACCAGAGACAGAACCGGGAGCAGAACAGGCAGATCGACAAAGTACACTGCTGAGGGGAGCAGCGGGCGGGTCAGGAGAGGTCTGCCACGCCATGTGGTCACCTCCGGGGCAGGCGGGGATCGAACTCATGCGGAAGTGGCCTTAGCTTCTCAGTGCTGTGCTTTAACCTGCTGTGCCACCAGGGAGGGCCTTTTTTGTTTGCTTTTAACTTTTTTTGAGTCATACAACCTTTTCTTCTCTGCTGTCAATTAAAAGGATGTTTGGTTTTTCACTCAGTACCATTATTAAGGACAGCCGGTGAGTGAAAAGAGGTCCAAATATTTAGTTTTTTGGAGAAAGATTGGGTTTGAGTAGAACACTGATTATTTCTTAAGATAACTTGCTTAAGAACAAGCCTGTATATTCAGGGAGATTGTGAAGACAAGACTCTGGAATGACAAAATCCCTCTTGTCTGGCAAAGGTGAGCTCAAATATCACCTCTCTGTGAGGCCTTTCTCAGGCCATCCAGAGGGGTTTCCCCTACTCAGGGCTCTCAGAGCCCTTGTTCCATATTGCTTGGAGCACTCACTCAAGTGCTTACTGTTCTTTGCCCTCCTCAGACAGACTGAGCGTCTTCCAGGTCAACAGCAGCCTGCTTCTAGTCCTTTCCTCCGCTTACTTCATGGGGATTTATAAAATAAAACTTGCTTTATTCCCAATTTGAATCTAGAAGGGGAGACTGGCCTAAAGTAATGCCTTTTTTGCAGATTCATGTGGTATTAAGCCACCCTACTTCACTCTGTTTTTCTACCCAGTTTCCTCATCCAAGTGTTCCCTGTGGGCTTCCCTTTGAAGGGCAAAGGATCGCCAATCCAGGAACCCCAAGACAAAGATTCAGAATCCACCATTCCAAAGAAGCCATGCAGTGATTCAATAATAGCACTTCAAAGCTGTACACTCTGGTTTTAATAGGTGTGCAGACTCTGGGATTTTAACCAGGTTAGATACATCCCCTCATTGTAGAATAAGCATCTTCATACATTTGATTTACGTGTAAGATTTTGAAACAACACATTCTTAAGTCAAGAAACTCCTTTTTCAGTTTACCACAACAATGTTGATTTTTAAATGATTTTTGGTAGCTATTCATGTCTTAAAAAGTTCCCAGAGGAACTGGATTATGGTGACTTTTTAAAGGGCTTCACTGGTGCATCTTCACTATTTACTTTTGAAAATTAGGCTGTTTTGTGGTCATACGGTTGCCAATTCCCACCAGAGTAGCACAGAAAAACATGTATTGGCAACGATCTTTCCAGTAGGTGGCACTTTAATAATTAGAACAATCTAAAGTTCTGTGAGGCAAACACTTACTTTATAGACCTCCATAAAGTCCTTCTAATCAAAGTATTTTGTTTTTTAAAAGATTATTGGGAAGACTGTCCTCAGCAGGGTTTGCCTTTTATCAACAGTGGAAGAATCAAGGTCTCAAGAAAATCTGAAACAGTGTTTGGTGGCTAAAGTGAATTTGGAATCTGTAATGCCCTTCACGTTAGCCAGTTGCCTAAAGTCCTCACTTTTAGAAACAGTGAATCCCAAGGTGCCTATTGTTCAGTGGAACTGCTAGGCCAGTGAATGTGAGTGCACCCTTACTAGAGGAAGTGGAGGATTTTAGTTAAAGCTAGCTTGCTAGTTCATTCTCTGCACTCCTGGCACCTTGCCTGTCTGCATTTTTCTTTTATATGTGCCCTGTCACTATTCTCTTCTCTGTCATTATTATGGTGATGTGCCATTTTCAACCACATTTAATCACTTAGTATCTAGACATCCTCAGCCCTCAAAATATATCAATAAATCAGGGAAATTCAGCAGATAGCCACTTAGCTGATTAAAAAGCAAGAGATTTATGAGGAAATTAGGTAATGCTGAACATGCAGTTCTCTAATAGTCTCATGAAGGGTGTTGGGGGGAAGGCTGGCAACAGACAGATGGTATATCAAGAGAGCAAAGCCTCTTCAAAATGGCAACATTTTACCTGTAGGATTTAATGTCTCCAAATTTCTTCTACCAATGCTTTTACCAGATACTTAATTCCTTGCTTTAAGCTTTACCCTCCTTTAGCAACCTTAATTTATAATACAGGCACTTTTTGGAGAAAGAAATTTAGATTGAGAGGGGATGAAAATAAATATCAGTAGAAAAAGCTTGTAAGCTGTTGGAGCAATGATTGCCTGCAACTAACCAAAGCAAGTGTTAAGATGGTAGCAGCCACTCATTATGTAATTTATTACAACCCTGCCCAGTGGGGAAGCCAGAGTCTAACACAGGGATGATGCAGAGGACTTGACATGGATCACCTGGAGTTTCTATGCAAAAGCAGACTTTCCCTGAGCTCTGACTTTTTCTATGTTTTCATATTTTGCCAAATTATTTTATATTTTTTGAGATTCCTATTCTGACATTGGCCTTATGATCCCATGGTCTACCTTGGTCTAGTGTGAAGTCTGTTAGGTCAGTACATGCACATTTACACGTGAGACACACACCCACACCCCACACACACCATCATCAACTGCTTACTGCCTACCACACCTGACTTATTTCTCCTAAAATTGCTACTGTTGGTAAGATTATTGTGGTAGCTTCAGGAAATCCACCTCCAACTCTGACACACTTCTAGAGGCATTTCTGTAGAAGTGCATTTCCCAGGCCATCTGTTGGACTGAGAGTACTTAGTACCTTTACTTGGACACAAGTAGCGTACAGCATTTGTTAGTCTTTACCACCATTTTTGAGGATTAGACAGAAAGTGGAGGACCAACACTTGATTTTTGATCTGCTAAAGTGCAGACACCGAAGTGCAGACATGCGGAACAGAGGTAGGGGAGCATGTTTTGGTTAATAGTCACTTTTGACTGATGGCATAGAAGACTCCTAATTGCTCTTCAGTCATGATGTTAAGAAGAACATGGTTCAAGCTCACACCTCATTACTCTCAGAGCTGAGCCTGACTGTATTTTTACCTAGCCAATATCATGGCATGTCACTGCTCACACAAATTCAGTCCACAAGTCTCCCTGACCTATGCACCTATACTAAGTGGATTCTACATACTTTACAGGCAGTTCTCCTTCGATGCAACTCCTCTTTCTCTGTGTATTTAACATTTACTTCATTTTCCAAAGTTCAGCCAAAATCTCAGTCTTCAGTCCTAGTGATGGAGCCCCTAGGGCTTTCTCCCTCTTCCCATCTAGACCCACTTAGCTCACATACTTGCCCCAGTGAGAATGCACTGCACCCTCAGATGTGCGTGTGGGATTGAACAGGGAGATTAGATAACACAGTTATAAAGGGCAAAGGAGGTTCTTTCCCAGGGATCTAAGAAAATGTAAAATACTTAACTGTGTCGCATATTTCAGACATATACTTGGGTGATACATTTTCAGAAGTTTCTAAGCATTTTGTGTACATTCTTTATTCTTTTTCCCTTCATGGCTTAATAGTCGAGCAATCCTGATTGAGGTGACTTTACTAATTTCTATTTTTTAGAAAATGGAAACAGTTTCCATTTTCGCTTAGTATATAACAAAAATTATACTCATTACATTCAATCCTTTTTGTAAAATAAGATGAACAAGATGAGGTAAAATAGTTGAAGAATTTACATAAACACCAACTATTAAGAGGGCTAATGCTGGGATTCAGTGGACTGGGGTGGGTATCATTCACCAATTCATTCAAAAGTTTGTTTGTTGAGCAACAACCACACATTCTTCTAGGTGGTGGCACCATAAAACTTTCAAAAGTTGGTTTGGATATTAATAGAGAATCTATGAAAATAATGAATTAGAGGTCTACCTTTTCATGTAATTAACATTGCATGTGAGTATATTGTCCTCCTAATGAAACTGCAAGGTCTTTGTGGACAAATTTTGTGGTATAATAAATGGAACTAGAATGTTCACAAGCAAACATTTTATACAGTCAACATAGCATGGAACATAAACTTTAAAAATAGCAGAGTTCAGTAGTACAACACTGGTAATTGTTCATTAAATTTTCTCATTTAGTGAGAAAATGGTGAGTTTCTATTTTTGGTTTTGGTATGTAGTAATAATTTTATGATGAAAGAACCCAAAAGATAACTTACAGTTCAAGATGTTGCCTGATGATGGTATCCATTACTGTGCATTAATCAGCCTGGGTCAGCAGGTTACATTTCTTCTGTTACTGAAAATTACAAGTAAATTATTAAGATAATTAAAGGAAATTAAGATCACCCACATGTTAACATAAATGTTTATGAAAGTAACTTCCTTTGGAAGCCAGAATCTGAATATATGAATAGATAATTAGCAATATTATTGACTCTGGTGATTGATGGGCAGGGAAGAAATGGGTTGTACTATTAAAAAGTTAGATATCTTGGATGACTCTGCTACTTTATATGATTAGCTTTCATTGATCTATATCTAGTATGCTTCTGGTCGAGTGCTAAATTTTAAAATAACATGCATTATTGGGCCTCCCTGGCGGTGCAAGGGTTAAGCCTCAGCACTATGACGCCATTGGCAGCCGATGTAGCACAAATTAGATCCTTGGCCAGGTTGCTGACTTACATGGCACAACAGACCTCTCCTGTCCTGCCCACTGCTCCCCTCAGCAGTGTATTTCAGTCAATCTGCCTGCTCTGCTCTCCACTTTGTCTGGTAAGTCCTCTCAAACCTCTTTTCTCCCTCACCCCTGGCCAACCCCCCAGCTCTTATATGCATAAATAAAATGAAATCTTTAAAAAAATAACATGCATTATTTATTTTTACAGTCATTTTAAAAAACGGGTTGAACATTTACTACTTGCCACATACTGGGAAAAAGCACAGAAAAGGTCTTAGTGCTCTACAAAGACATTAAACCAGTCACTAGACATCATGACAAATGCT